TCCTTTCACCGCGGGGGTCCTGGGGAATTGGACTCGGGCCTTCAGTCTTGGCTGCATGTGCTTTTACCACTGAGCCATTTTGATGGCACAATATGGTTTGTTGTTGTTGTTACTTGTTTGTTTAGATTTATTTATATCACGTGTGAGAATGTTTGTTTGCATGCATGTATATGCGACACATGGGTGCTTGATGCGGTGAAAGCCTAGACGAGGGTATTGAAGTGGAACTGAAGTTACAGACGGTTGTGAGCCATCCTCACTAGTTTGTAAGTGAACCTGGGTCCTTCAAAGGAGCAGCAAGGGCTCTTAACCTCTGAGCCATCTCTGCAGTCCCACCATTTTCTTTTTTAATTAAAAAAAAAAATCGAAGCAAAATATATCTAACATAATAACTGTTTTTAATGTAAGTTCAGTGTTTTTGTTTTTTGTTTTTCTTTCGGATTTTGCTGTTTTTGTTTTTGGTTTGTGTAGCAGCCCCAGGAATTGAACCCAGACTCACACATGCTTGACAAATGCTAACTCTTGAGCTTACAGGTCCAGATTGATTCCAGTGTACTTTTAAAAATTACATCCATAATATTGGACAACCATTAGCAGTAGCCAATGCCAGATTTTTTTTTATCACTCTCCTTCAAAGAAAATCTGTTAATCCATACTGTTTCAGAGGGTTTATCGATCCTGGAAACATTTTATAAACACAGCCATAATCCTATGGAGCCTTTTGTGTCTTACTTTCTGCTTATTTGATTTCTTTTGATTTTTTGAAACAGGATCTTATGCTGTCCAGGCTGGCCTTGAACTAACTGTTCAAGGATACCCTTGAACTCCCAACTTCACAAGTGTGTCACTCATTTGTGCCATTGTACCTGGTTTTATGTGGTCCTGGTGGTGGAGCCTGGAGCTCCATGCTTGCTAGACAATGCCTGTTGGCTGGGCTCCGTTCTCTGCACTGCGTCTGACTCTTCCTTCAGGGCAATGAATTCAAAGCTCATTCGCGAAGTTGCATGTATCTGTATGTTATTCTTTTCATATATCAGTAACATTCCACTATACAGATATACTACATTTCGTTTTTCCATTTATTTATTGTCTGATATAGATTTGACCTGTTCCTCAGAATAATGCTATTATTCCAGGCCCAGTGGTACAGATCCATCAACAGAGAGTCAGAAACAGGACTGTGAGTTTGGGGCTATCCTGGGCTATGTAGTGGCATTTATCCCAAACAAAACAAAGGGACAACAACGGAAAGAACAGTGCTGCTGTGAGCATTCATGTGAAGCTTTCTGGCAAACGGGCTTTCCGTTCTCACGACTTGAGTTGCCACACATTGTTGGTTGCATTTGATGGTTCCCTGAAAGCCCATGTTTCAAGGTCTTGATTGGCAGCTTAGCCTATTTAAGAGTTAATTCCTATTGGGGGAAGCTAGGTGATCAGGGGTGTGCCCTCAAAAGCATTATTGAAACCTCAACCCCTTTCCCGTTGTCCTCTTCACAGAGACCATTGTGCCAGCCGCTGGCTCTTCTATGAACTGTTATGAGGGGATGCCCTGTCGAAGCAATGGGCCCATCTGACCGTGGGATGAAATCTCTACTAAACAACTACTAAATTCTGAGACTTTCCCTTGGTAGACAGCCAGTATTGAACTAGCTGGACCACAGCCTGGACGCTACTCTAATAAATCCTATACCCATGCCTAGGAGGCTACTCTGGCGGCAGATGTAAAAGGCAGAAGCTCAGCAGCCTTGGCAACAGAGGTCCAGGCGTCTGATAAAAGCTTTACTGGCACGCTCATGAGATCTAAGTCATCCTCGTGGCTAGCTTGAGCTAGAGGAACCAGATGGGAAGCTGTTTACTCGCTTTGGGAGTTAACATCTTTATCCGAAATGCCAGTAAGTTCTTCTCTCCTTCCTGTTGTTGGGCCCTAAAGCCCCACCAAGGAGGAGGTCACCCCAAAGACACTCTCAGCATGGTTGATGCAATAGCAAGAGGAATTTTTATTCTGCCACGGCAGAGGTCCCTCAGCCTCGAGAGGAGAATGACCCCGCTTTGTCTATTACAAGCTCTTTTAAAGGAAAAACCACAAAATCAGGGAGGGAGTAGTACAGAATCAAAGGGAAAGTCCAGAAATCATTTGTCAACTATTTTGACTAGTTCATTCAATGGTCAGCTAACTCTACTTGATCAATGTTATGGCGATTACAAGGAGGAACACCTGCAAGTCGTCTTACCCCAGTTCCAGGGTCCAAGTCTATTGAAGAAAGACTATAATGGGGATGGAAAGTACTCAAAGCTCCAGTGCACGCGTGGTTGGTTACCAGGGTCCTGGTTCCCAGGAAGGGGGGGTGCAGTAATGCTAACTTGCCTCAAAGTCTTTCACTGTAGCTAGCAAAGGTTCCATTACTCAGTATTTTTAAAGCAAAAGGGATAGTCAATTAAAAAAAAGCTATACACACTATCCTGAAATAAATATTATTTACAGACCAAAGAAATATAGTATTGTTAAACTGTTGTTGGAATCTAGCAGAGTCACTATGTAGCTCAGGTAAACCTTAGAATGAATAGTCGTTTGCACTCTTTCTAGGGGAAGCATTAGAGTAGATAGTTGTTTTCTAGAAGTACTTTAACCTTGAAGAAATCATGGTGAAAAATTCTGTCTTTTATAGAGTTGATTTTGTGAAGCATCATTACAGCCTACAAGACTTCGGTCACAGACACTTCTGGCACACATGAATCTTTTAGGTCACTGGGTACCGCAGATGGTATGCAAGGAGGACTATGGGTACCGCAGATGGTTCACAAGAAAGACTATGGGTACCGCAGACGGTTCACAAAAAGGACTATGGGTACTGCAGATGGTACGCAAGGAGGACTATGGGTACTGCAGATGGTACACAGGAGGACTATGGGTACTGCAGATGGTACACAGGAGGACTATGGGTACTGCAGATGGTACACAAGGACTATGGGTACTGCAGATGGTACACAAGGAGGACTATGGGTACTGCAGATGGTACACAGGAGGACTATGGGTACTGCAGATGGTACACAGGAGGACTATGGGTACTGCAGATGGTACACAAGGACTATGGGTACTGCAGATGGTACACAGGGAGGACTATGGGTACTGCAGATGGTACTCAAGGAGGACTATGGGTACTGCAGATGGTACACAGGAGGACTATGGGTACTGCAGACGGTACACAAGGAGGTCTGTGGGTACTGCAGACGGTACTCAAGGAGGACTGTGGGTACTGCAGATGGTACACAAGGAGGACTATGGGTACTGCAGATGGTACACAGGAGGACTATGGGTACTGCAGATGGTACACAAGGAGGACTATGGGTACTGCAGATGGTGCACAAGGAGGACTATGGGAACTGCAGATGGTACACAAGGAGGACTATGGGTACTGCAGACGGTACTCAAGGAGGACTATGGGTACTGCAGATGGTACGTAAGAAGGACTAAAGCAGCAGGGGCAGATGCTTGCCTTCAGAGACTATGTAGATTAGATCAGGGGCTTTGGTGTGAGGAACTTGTTTATTCATAACCAACTTTGAGCAGCAGTCAATAAATGTGCCTCGGTATGGCTGGTCAAGGGTCAGTCCATCAGAGGCTGGACCTTCCTGTTGCCACGTAGGCCTAAAATTTTCATCTTGGAATAACCCCTTTCCTTGACCAACTCATGCAACTTAGAACACCCGACATTAAGTATTATTTAACAATAATTATATGTATATAATATCCCTTCAATCTTTTCTCTTCCTGGTATGAATGCCAATCCCTCTTTCCCCAGAAGAACTAATGAACGGCAGCTAGAGAGTAAGGGAAATGACCATAGCAATGAAATGCTTACTTGGCTTCATATACTATCTAAATGTCTTTAAACTGTTAGTTAATTCTTCAAGGAGTTCTACAAGATAGGCATCACTAAGTGATGGAGGAGTAAGGAGTAAGTTGAGAGCTCTCGTTCAAGGTCACACAACTTTGAGGTTTGAAGTCAGCAGTCTCACCCTAGAGCGATGCTTTGCCAATTTATGTTTCAGTTGGCACACATAGCAGCAGGTTTTCTCACCACAGTTTTATACATATTTAGTTTTGGTTGATGGACACTTCCCACCACCCCCTGGGAGTCCGAGAGAGCTTTATGAAGTCTACCAGGAAGCAAGGGTTCCAATACAATCTCAAAGCCAATGGCCGAAAGCCTAGTCCGGAGAAGAACCAGGAGGACTGGGAAAGAAGCTGCAGGCTGGAGTTTGCTCCCTGGCAAGATGGAAGGAAGTGGTTAAAAATACAGGGTCTCTATATGTGATGTGAAGGTGGAAGGGGGGTACTAGGGGCAGAGAGGTACAGTGGGCATGGGGGAGGGGAGATGTGGGAAGAAAGGAAGGCGCAGATGCTGGGCTGCCCTGCTGATATTGAGTACACACCAAGCTGTCACGTTGACTGTTGCTGTGGAACTGGGCAACAAGTTCCTTCCCTCCCTCCCCCCCTCCCTCCCTCTGTCCCTCCCTCCCTCCTTCCCTCCCTTCCCTCCCTCCCTTCCCTCCCTCCCTTCCTCTCTCCCTCCCTCCCTCCCTCCCCTTCCTTTTTCTTTCCTCCCTCATTCCCTCCTTCCCTCCCTCCAATTCCTTTTCTTTCCTTTTGTCCTTTTTCCCTTCCTTTCCCCCCTCCCTTCCACCTGCAGTGCTGAGCAAGCACCCTCTCTTACTTGAGCCACACCCCAGCCATCAGTAGAGATTTCAACCGTTTCCTCTCCTGAACCTTTCCTGACCAACTCTCTGACCCAGGCTCCCACAGACTGTCTGTACTGAGACTTGAGCTGGTCTGGTGCTTGCTTGATCAGCTCCTTCTAGATGGCACCCTGTGTCTTTGCCCTCTGGCTTGGACTCCCTCCAGCACTGTAATCATTAACGCCCTCGGGAAACCCACGGACAAAAGGGACCAGAGGCTGGACTGGTCACCAACCAGAGGCAGTATATGCTGAAGTCTGAAGATGGAGAGAAGCGAGGAGCAAGATGGCAATGAGAAGCCCGCAGGGCCAGAGCATGACAGTGGGGCACCAGGACTGTCACTGAAGAGGGAGATTGGTCTGTGGAGTGCAGTTTCCATGACTGCTGGCTGTATGATTGGCTCTGGCATCTTCATGTCCCCACAGGGGGTCTTGGTTCACATGGGTAGTCCTGGAGCCAGTCTTGTTGTCTGGGCCACTTGTGGCCTTCTGGCCATGCTGGGTGCCCTGTGCTATGCTGAACTGGGCAGTCTGGTTCCTGAATCTGGGGGAGACTATGCCTACATTTTACGAACCTTCGGCTCTTTGCCTGCCTTCCTGGTTATCTACATGTTTGTCCTGCTGGCCAGACCCGCTGCCATCACTGCCGTCTCTCTGAGTTTTGCTGAATATGCGCTGGCTCCCTTTTACCCAGACTGCTCCTCATTCCCTCAGATCACGGTCAAGATCGTAGCTTCCTCTTGCATCCTGTTGCTGCTACTGATCAACTTCTGGAGCTCCCGGATATCCACGGTGGTGATGAACGTGTGCACAGCTGCCAAGGTGTTCTCATTGCTCATCATTGTAGTGGGTGGGGCTGTGGTGCTGGCCCAGGGCCGCAGTCGTGCAGAATCCTTGCTGTTTGCCTTCCACAACACAACACAGCAGGCAGGGCGCATTGGCATGGCTTTCTACCATGGCCTGTGGTCCTTCGATGGCTGGAATAATATCAACATGGTTGTAGAGGAGCTCAAGAACCCAAAGGTGAGTTGAGTGTGCTGCTCTAGGGGTGAACCTCTGAGCATCCGCAGCTCCAGGAACTGGGATTCCAACTATTCAAAGGACCATCTGACTGGAATCAAGGCTCCCTTGCTATACTCAGGGGACCGCATGGCAGCCCATCTGCCTTGATTAGTTTATGGGATTTCATCAACAGTTTCTAACTTAAGCAGAGTACTTCATACTATTATACCCCATGGACTCATCTTTCTGCCCCTGGAGGTAGCATCAACACTCCATGTTTTACAGGGGAAAACTGAAATTCACAAAAGGGGAATTATTCTGAATTCGTACTGCCAGCATTCTTATTGATTCTGCTGGCTACCCCCTGTCTTGTTCCCTCCAGAACACTGCAGTAGATACTTGTTCATAGTTTCCAAAGTCTGGGTGCCACTTGAGGACATAGCATACTTTGGCTTGGGAAACAACCCAGTCCTGCCTTTTCACCCCAACCTGTGAACCTGGTCTGGATAATCAGTGTGCTAGCTGGTCTGAAGGGCTACCCCGGACTCTGTTGTGGCATTTGGATCTTTGGTTATTAATGTACTGACTCTTTGCTATAAATATATTTTCTGAGATGTTGTTTGTTTTCTTTTTCCCTTGTAGGAGTTTCAAATACTCACAGAATAGGAACTGCAAGTCTTCTGCTGTCCCTACTGGGCTGGCTTAAGGGCATTCCAGCTTTTAGAGATTTGGCAAAGGCTTGCCCTCACTGGAGGGCAGCTTGAGAAGAGAATGGCAGTTTAGAGACAAAAGTGCAAGAGGAGAGAGAGAGAGAGAGAGAGAGAGAGAGAGAGAGACAGAGGAGAGAGAAACAGAGACAAAGGAGAGAGATAGAAACAGAGATGGGAGAGACAGACAGAAATAGTGGGGAGAGAAAAACAAGAGAGACAGAGAGAAGGCAGAAGAGAGAGAGAGAGAGAGAGAGAGAGAGAGAGAGAGAGAGAAGGAGCAGGAGGAAGAAGAAGAGGAGGAGGAGGAATATCAGAGACAGAGGAAACAGAGAGAGAATGCATGTTCAGAGTCCTAGGATCTCATCCTTATTTTTATTTTTCTTCTCTGAGACAGTCTCATTGTAGCCCAGGTGGGCCTTGAGCTTGTGCTGTGGCTAAGAATGTCTTTGAACTTCTGATCCTCCTGTCCTCACCCCCTATACAGTGGGATTACAGGAGTTACCGGCATGCCTGGTGGTTTTAATTTCTTGCATATGATTTCATGTTCCTAAGTCTTTGTCTGTGAAAAGGACTATCATAATAACTGCCCTGACTTCATTCTTCATTTCTGAGGTTTCACTGGTACATTCTTGGCACATGGCTTGGGAAACTCTCAAGTAAATGGGTAGCGTGTACATATGGTTGCCTGGTAGCTGTAGAGCCCCCTTTCTCAATCTAGACCGTGGGCTTTCAGCTAGGTCAAGGAAAGAGCAGGGTTCTGAAAGTTGGTCTCTGAAGTTGAAGACAAGCTCCCATGGTTGTGGTGGTTATCAGCAAAGTCTTTCAAGAAAGGCTCCAAGAGTTAAGATTTTAAGTCCCCCTATCCATTAGTACTGGTCACAACTAGTCTCTTCTGTTATGGTAGCAGAAAAACTGCTATAGGTAAATAAAGGAACACAGTTGTATTTTAATCAAACTTAATTGACAAAATCAGCTACAGGCTAGAATTGTCGTTTGCTGATCTCTGCTGTTTTGATGTGGGTTTCAAAGCAAAACCTAAGCCAGCCACCAGAATGCCAGCACTTGAAATTCTGCCCTAACTTGTTCTAAAAAGTATATTTGTTTCATACTCTCTTCACCTCCACCAGAGAAACCACAGAAGCTTTGTCAAACCAGGGTCAGCCATATATGCAGACTCCTTGGGATTTGAAGAATTCAGAGCCCTCAGAGTGAAGTCAGAAAATCTCACTGTTCTTGTAATACATTGGCCAGAAACATACTAAGGACCCAACTCAGGGCTCTGCTGTTGTCACAACTCATTGCTACTGGGAAAGTTGCTTGGGGAGAGGTCAAATTCAAAAGCATGCTAGGTTCCTTGCCCTGACTACGTGTGAGGTTGAGTCATGCATACTGGGTACTCACTGTGCCGAGGGCATCCCCAAAAAGCCTGTGGGAGTGAGAGCACCTTGACTCCAGGTAGCCTTGTGTGAGCCTAGGCAGAGCCACATTCCAACCCCTGGGTGGTAAAACCGTAGCTGCTATATCCATTCTGTGGCCAAGGCACTTTCCTTTGAGCTCAGAGTCTCGCCCGTTTGCAGCATGGTCCTCTTGGGAGGGTGACCAGCAAAGCAGAGTGGTCAGATGCCTCCTGGGGGGTGAGACTGGAGTCTCACCACAGCTCTGCAGAAGCAGTATGAACATGAACGTGGAGGTCTGAGAGAACAGAGCCGGCCAGTGGACAAGGGGACATGAGGTGGGGTGGGGGTGAGGGGTGGATGAAGATGTGTCTACACGGAGGCTGCTTGCCAAGAGCTGAAACGGGTCGAGATGACAGCCCCAGCCCGTGTTCCCCTCCTCTCCTTTTCCTCTCCACATCTAAGAATTCCCATAAGCGGAGCTCAGTCCTGGCAGAAAGCTCTGGAAATAGTCTTCTTTTCTAAAGCCGAAGAGGAGAAGTACCAATACGCTATTTTCATAGGGGCAAATCATTCTGCAGAGGAGACTAGTGAGGTCCTCAGCTTCCCTTCTCCTCTGGTTTCCTCTGCAAGAAAAATTCTCTGTCCCACCTTCCTGCGCCATTTCCATGCCTCAAAGAGAGCCCAGGTGAGGCCCTCCTCATACTGGAAGATCTGGTGACGCCTCCACTATTCCCCCTGCATCTTTTTTGCTCTGTCTAGTATCTTACGTCACTTCCCACACATCTGCCTGATTGTGTGCCCATATTGTGGGGATCACGTTCTCATGGCGGGGGAACACAGGGCTTCCATTTCCCAGGATCTGGCACAGTGGCCCTGAGGACAGCATAGTGCTGAAGACCTAGAGAGGCCTCATTGCTAACCTTTGTCCTCTTCTCCTTGACCCTGCAGCAGAACCTGGTATGGGCAGTGATGATTGCCATCCCCTTGGTCACCGTTCTGTACGTTCTGGTCAATATCAGTTACCTGCTGGTTATGTCACCCTTGGAGATCCTCTCCTCTGACGCCATGGCTGTGAGCTGGGGGTGAGTGAATCACGTGGTCTGTATCTTGCATTTAGGGATAGGGAAGGGGGTTGCTCTATGTCGATCTGAACTTGCCTTTAAATGCATTGTTTTGCCCAACAGTGGTGGTGCACACTTTTAATCCCAGTACTCGGGAGACAGAGGGATCTCTGTGAGTTTGAGGCCAGCCTGGTCTACAGAGCAAGTTCCAGGACAGGAACCAAAACTACACAGAAAAACCCTGTCTAGAAAACAAAACAAAACAAACAAACAAATGCATTGGTTTTTTTCTACTTCCCAGGAGGCCTTGTGGCCACTTTCCAAGTCACTGCTAAGAGGTCTTTTCCTTGAACCCTCTGTTGTTTTAGGAACCGGGTTCTGGGGTCCTGGGCCTGGCTGGTGCCCTTGGCTGTGGCACTCTCGACGTTTGGTACCGTCAATGGGGCATTCTTCAGTGGCAGCCGTTTGTGCTATGCAGCTGCAAGAGAAGGTCACATGGTAAGAGGTGGGATCTGGGGTCAAGGGAGGTGGTGAAGGCTGCCAGGGAGGAGCTGGGAGACCTTTCACCTATGACTTCTCCTTCCCAAGCCTAGCATTGAGCCCAAGCCTGGACCTCCCCAATCAGATGTGACCCTTTTTTCTTCTGAGAATGGGATATGGCCATTCCCTTCCTTTCTGATCTATTCCTGATCTCTTCCAAGTTTCAGGGTTGCCATGGTCCTGGATTATGTGGGGTAGAAGGAGTGATAAAGTCTATTTGTGAATAGCAAGAGTACAGAGGCCACAGGAAAGAGGCCCCAAGTATATACAATGCCCCTTTCCCTCCAAGATTCTTTGCTCCTTTTAGCTCTTGCTATGATAATAATATTGAATAACAGACAACCCCTAACCCCCAGTGGCTTGCCACGTTTAACTGTTGCTCTTCGTGTTAGCTGTGGCCCTGTTTGTTTGGGTCATTCTTATTTTGAAATGAGTCTGTTCCTCTTTCAGGGATCCAGGTCAAAGCAGAGATGGCTCCTGGGAGCATTTCTTGATTAATTCAGAAATCGGGGTTTAAGATGTCAAACCAAACATAAAATCACACTTAGAGCATGGGCTTGTCTTTTGTGCTCGTGTTTTATTGGATGAATCAAGTGATGCAGCCTAGCCCACATCAAGGGTTGAGAGCTACATGCCTGACATAGAGGCAAAGAGAGGGAGACTGATTATTTTGAGGCTAACAATCCAGGGTATCATAGTAACCCAAGGAAACCTACACCCTGGAAGCCATGGAACTGTTGACCATTGGATTGGGCACACTGGTGTCCAAAGCATGATAGGAGACAGAGGGCTTATTGTAGCTTGAACAGCCTCTCTCACGCCACTGTCTTCCAGCCTCAGCTTATGTCCATGATTCATGTGCATCGACTTACACCAGCTCCAGCCCTGGTCTTCACCACAGCTATGGCTTTGGTCCTGGTCATTCCAGGAAACTTCAGCACCTTCGTGAACTTCTTGAGGTAAGTGAGCTATTCACAGGCTGGTATCTGTGTCCTAGACATCTCTGTATCTATATACTCTTAGATGTACCAACTTGCACCTATCTGCACATATAAATGTGTGTGTTCTCTTCTGGAGTTCCTATGTGCATGCGTGCACACACACAACACAAATGCAAGCATGCACACACACAAATTTTCTCACCATAACAATTAAATACCTGACAGGAAACAACTGAAAGGAGGAAGGATTTATTTTGACACATACAGGATACAGATCAGCATGGCAGGGAGACATGGAAACTGGAATGTTTGGAGCCTGTGGTGAGAGGTGTGTGTAGCTGCTTGCTCACACCTCAGTGGACCAGGAGCAAAGAAAGGACAGGAAGTCAGGTGTTATAAATCTCAAGGCCTGCCCACTCACCCAGAAACCCGTTTCTTTACTGAGCTTCCATTCCCCTACATATCAATAATCTCCCAGAACAGTACATGAGCCTGTGGGGTAATAATATCTATCTATCTATCTATCTATCTATCTATCTATCTATCTATCTATCATCTATCTATCTATCCATCCATCCATTTATCTATCTCTATCTATCTACCTATCATCTATCTATCTACTTATCAATTTACCTATCTATCCACCTATTTACCTATCATATATCCATCTATCTACTTATCAATTTATCTATCCATGTA